TATATATATATATATTTTAACAAAATTCGGATCGTGTTATGCATATTGATATATCAAATACTCAGGCCTCCAGATCGTGGTGCTGAACAAAGGCCTCAGGTCTTTCATCTATAAAATAGGGACAGTACTATTACTTACCACATGAGGTTGCTGTACAGGTTAAATGAGAAAACTTTGTAATTCACTTATGCCTGTAACATGCATCTTTGCCACGTACATGTAAGCCTGATTGTGTTATGCCTGCTAAGGTGATTATTAGCTATTATTATCATGCTTGTCTGAATCCATATCTTTTATTTATTTTTTGAGATGTAGTTTTGCTTTTGTTGCCCAGGCTAGAGTGCAGTGGCCTGATCTCAGCTCAAGCAACCCCTGCCTCCCAGCTTCAAACAATTCTCCTGCCTCAGCCTCCTGAGCAGCTAGGACTACAGGCATGTACCACCACACCTGGCTAATTTTTGTATTTTTAGTTAAGACAGAGTTTCGCCATGTTGGCCAGGCTGGTCTCAAACTCCTGACCTCAGGTGATCTGCCTGCCTTGGCCTCCCAAAGTGCTAGGATTACAGGCATGAGCCATTGTACCCAGGCCTGAGTCCATATCTTAAATCTCAACAAGATGTTTTATGTTAGGGTTTTTCTCTTGCCTCCTCATTCCTCAAAGAGAACAATGACTGAAAAAACATCGGTTGGGTAAATACAGCATTATCATAATTGTAATTTCCCTGAGAAAAGTGGCTTGCAGTTTGAATATTCAGCATCATAATTACAATTTCCATAAGGAATGTAGAACAGTTATTATAAACAACAGAATAATCACTTGGTCCATAAGGGAGAACAGGTTATTAGGGGAGCGAGGAGAGAGAGAAGCAAAGCGTGTGTTTTAATCAGCATTCAAGAGTAGAAATACAGAATCTGAGAATAAATTGTTAAAGGACCTTAAAATACTCTTGCCCGAATTTATCAAAAATCTTATCATGATGACTTCCATGGGTTAAGTGCTGCCTATATAATTTTTTCTTTCATACAAGTTAATCATGTTTATTAAACATTCCCTCTGCATTTTTACTCATTGTCATTCATAATTTATATACCCACAATAAATTTTAAAAAGCAAATTATGACAAAATTTCAAAAGTAAAAATATATTTAAAAAAATGTAGGAGAAAAAGAGTTTTATCAGGTTTTTTTCTCTCTGGAGTTAAATGCTTCCTTCCCATTCAAAGGAAAATGGGTAAAAGTTAAAAGCAAAAAATAAAGTCTTTTTATAATTCCGTCAGTTATTTTAAATGGCTTTTATTCAATTTCCTTTTTGTGTGTGTTTTCTATTTTTTAGGTGAAGTGAGAAAAACAGAATGCAGCTTTCAAGGTTGGTTTATTTTATTATTTTTATTGTAAATTGACAATTTGTAATTGTAAAGATCTATGGGGCAAAACCTGATGTTATCGTTTATGACTCCAGTGTGGAATAACTAAATCAAGCTAGTTAAAATATCAATCAATTTAAATTCTTAACATTTTTGTGGTGAGAAGATTGGAAATTTACTCTCTTAGTAATTTTCTAATGTAAAATACTCTATAATTAGATTTGCCATGCTAATAGAACTAGAAAAAGGCAATACACTCTAATTGAACTGAAAAAAAGCCTGTTGTTCTTGTCTAACTGAAATTTTGTACCCTTTGACCATCATCTCTCCATTCCCTCCAAAACCCAGCCTCCATAACCACCATTCTAATCTCTCTTTCTGTGACTTCAGTTGTTTTAGAGTCCACCTGTAAGTGAGAACATGCTGTATTGACTTTCCGTGCCTAACTTATTTCACTTTGCATAATGTTCTCTAGTTCTATCCATGTTGTCACAAATGACAGAATTTAACATATATGTTAAAATGAAACTATGAAAGTAGCAGAGCAAAATATATCCTTAGCTTTGCACCAATACCTATTAGAACACATTATTTTTATTTTCCTCATTCATGGACAGAAAAGTACAACATAGACTTAAGTAAATTCAATATAGCAATTAAATATCATAGCTAATTGAATCTGTGGCAAAATTGTGAAGTTGGAAGTATATAACATTTTTATATTAACATGTAGTATTGGTAATTTTTCACTCCATCCATCCATCATTCCATCCATCTACCATTCATATATTTTTATCAATGAATCCTTATTACATACTGTGTGCAAGGTACTATCATGTATCTAATTTCTTCCCTTCATACTTTGTTTGGCTGACCTTCAACAGATTCTCAATCCTACCCCTTGTTCCAGTGCTTTCTGCTTATTACTAACAATAAACCTTCATCTATTATCACAGATAGTCGATTTTAACTTACTGTATCTGATAAATGAGCAGTGTTTCCCCAACATTGTTCAGCTGATGTGTATGCTAGTATGTCTGCTTCCAAATAATTAGGGCATAGAGGAAATCATCGTGGTAATAACTACAGAGTATATTGTAATTCAAGTAAATTAAGAGAATACAAAAAAGTCCTAATCTTTCCTCTTAAATAGAACATTCAGAGCTGAGTTTATGCATGAGCACCCTGGATAAAGTTAAAGTGTAGCGCTGCAGTGACTATGGCCTGAATGTTTTTGTCCTCTCAAAATTCCTCTGCTGAAGTCGTAGCCCCAAAGGTGACGGTCTTAGGCAACGAGGCCTTTTGGGAAATGATTAGGTTCAAGAATCATGAATGGGATTAGTGCCCTTATAAAAGTGGCCCAAGGGAGTTACCTTGTGCCTCTCAGCATGTAAGACACAGAAAGTGTTGTCTCTAAGGAGGCAGGCTTTCACCATACAGTATTTCTGCCTGTGCCTTGATCTTGGAATTCCCAGTCTCCAGAACAATGAGACACAAATTTGTGTTGTTTAAATATACCCAGTTGATGGTATTTTGTTATAGCGGCTAAAACAGACTAAATCACAAATGTTCTCATTATAAAAGTTTGAAACATCAATGAGTTGAAATAGAACTATCATCTCCACTCTGTACTCCATAGATAAATGGTAAAACTTGATTATCTGCAATGTCCTTATTGAGAAATTAAAAAGGGAAAAAAATTATTGATAACTCCAGATCCATCTCTAGGAAATATTTAAATATTTGAGTGAAGAGACCCAAATTTGAACCTGCCTGTGAAACCTAGTCTCCCCCTACAATATCCCATGGTCATGCTTCCATTTATATACACTCTATGTAGATGTTTCTGATGGCTTGCATTAACCACTGTAGGTATGCTCATGCCCTTCTTATAAAAGGGAAGCCCAGTAACAGATGTTTAGATTGAAAGTGCTTCAACTATTGTTCCTTTTAAACATGTAATCATGTTTTTCTTCAAATAATAAAATCTAGGCCTATAGAGTTTAAGTACGTTACTTGTCCTAAATCATAGAGTTCACTAATGACCAAATAGGGACTGTGATTACATTCTTTACCACCTTAACATGGGGCATCTCACATGGGTTGGTACGGAGGATAGGAAAGTCTTTTGTTTGGAATGGAAGATATTTCTGTAACAACATATTTCATACCAATCTGTTGCCTAAAATTATTTATCTCCTGTACTTTAAAGCATTTCTCAAAAACCCTTTTACTTCCCTGACTATATCATGATCTCCCAGAAGGTAAAGCTCATGGCTACCATTTCTCTGTATTTTTACCATATTTATAAGGTTTAGGTAAATGTTGTGCAGTTTACTGTTATTCTAAACCTTATCAAGAACACGGAACCTCTGCCTCTGTTCCAACTCAGTGAATTCCACTGATACTCTTTGTAGAAGATCTAGAAAAAAAAAATCACTGAAGGTAACCGGAAAGCAAAGAAAGATGGCTGGGTTTTGTTTTTGTTTTTGCATGTGTGTATGTTTTAGAATGTGTGTGAGGAGGAAGTGGTCAAAAGGAATCATTTAAATTTATCTGAGACTATGTGGCTTTAATGACTTTTAGGGTAAGCCAGAGTTACCGAAGAAAATAGAAAATGGCTACTGAAAATGTGAATGTATGTTTGGATAGATAGAGAGTGTACAGGGGCTAGACATTAGAATGAATGAAATCAATTTTTAAATACAGAAGAAAGGTTAGAAATAAGAAAACTAATTTCCTTTTTATTATAGATCTTAGATCTAATTTCCTTTTGTCTTTCCTGTGTATTTGAAAATAGGATGTAGCTCTTCTTTCCATGTAACAGCTGTTTAATATTTTCACACTGAAAGTGTTGTGTTTAGATTTGAGCACCACACATTTAGAAGTCTATAAATAACCTATTTTGCCCTTCAAAACATATAGAATGTCAGTCAAAGAAGCAGAGATTGTACAAGGATTATCAATTAAAGAGGAATCCCAATATTCACTTTACTCTTTCAAAGATCATTAAAGGTGATCAAATTTGTAACTCACGGCAACTCTTTTCACAATCCTTTTCTTCACCTATCAGATCTTTCACACTGCAATGTTTCGAATCGTCATCAAAACATTAAGCTCTTCTTAAGCCCTGGTTCTTGCCACTTTTGTTACATATGTATCTCTCTCTCTTTTCTTCCAGCATTTTATCATGTAGTTCAACCTTGTTTCTCTTACTAAAACCTTCCCTCTTACCCACCTGCCTCTCTGATTTTATCTTTCTAGGTTTTCCTATGAAAGAGGAAGAAATAAGAATTAATAGGCAGGTTATGGAAATGCTGAGTGTACCCAAATGTCAGTAAATCTTGTCTCAGCCATGTATATTCTGTAGCATGGTGATGGACTCAAAATGGCAAGCAGTGGCAGCACACATAGTGGATAAGAGCAATAGATTCGCTTTTAATTAAACATGGTGTGAGCTTTTATCTCTACTCCCTCCCCAAAAGTTAGTAAAATAAGAATAACGGATAAATAATGTATAACACCCCAAGGACAAAGTAATTAAGAAAGGTGACAATACCGGACCAAAAATGGCAAGCACAATTTCAAAAATGTTAAATATATGGACAAAGATAGTCGTAGTAGCACAACAGAGGG